TGAGACATCTTCTCAAACATTCAGCCAAGTAGTGGTTCCATATGAGTTACTATTACTTTTATCCGGAAGCAATGAGAAAAAAGCCATAGTTCGCACATTCGCACACCAATAATGTAAGCAATTCCAGAGCGTCGATGATTTCCTCTGCCCGGGAGGAGAGTCCCTTATCAGGAGAACAAGGAGCTGAATCACAATTTCTCGCAGCTTTTGTTTGGTCGTATAGGTAACAATGAATAGCGAAGCAGTAGGAGATTGACGGGAAGTTAACCACTAGCGAGAGCTCAAAAGACGATCACTGAATGTTGCTTTTAGATTCTCTGTGTCAAACCGATATCGAATAGTTGTGTGATGAATGTTTTTGCTAACTAACACGAACGTGTCAATGCGTTCGCTGCTCATTTGCATGCATCGAAAACATACACAAATATTCATTAATCCTCAAGCTTTTATAATCTTTTATCAATAATCGCCAAATACATGCATGCATATATGTCAAAATATACCGTTCAGTTGTGATTTCCTCCACGAAACGTTCTGTTTGAAATCATTTGAGCACTGACATCTGCATCAGTAGTATTTCAGAGGGTTCAAATAAATGGAAAAGCACATGGAATTCNAGTTGAAAAATGAATTTTAAGCTTTTCTCAAATGCTTCAAAACTTGTAAAACGATTAGACGCGAAATAGACAGTATTTGTTGGAGCTGTAATTTGTACAGTCGAACAAGAAATATACTCCACATCGAGAAAATTAAATACACAGCAAAATGATCCAAGCTTACTGCTCACACTACTCAGCAGTTAGGCTACAATCAACAACAAATGAATGAAGAGATTATCGCACGATTAGATCGGTCTCCGAGTGTGCTCAGTTCATTCCTGTCAAATTATTTCTCCTATCATATCAAATGAACACAATTGTTATCACCCCCACTGCTATTTCAAAACAGCAATAGCATTTCACTGAAACATACTTACTTCTTCACTTGATTTCTTGTTGGCCGTACAATATTTGTGAAATAAATCATGCCAACACTACTATAATTTCATAGTACAATGAATTAGATGAACCCCAGATAAGATGGCCAAAAACAACAGCAAATGGAATTTGGTGTGACAGAATGGAGAAATGAACGATTGACATTCACGGCTTGATTTGTTGCGATGTTTCTTTTCGAGTGAAGTGATTTCATTGATAACAATCTTGTACAAGAATGTCATCGCCTTATTCATAATCTTTCATGAATATCATCAAAGAAGAAGAAAGAAGGCAACGAAAAAAGGAGAAAAAGTTAGATAAGCGTTTTGGTGTTTATTCAGAAGATGTGATAATTGTGATAGTCCGTATTACTAACGGCAAACGTCAGATTATCAGAGGTTGGCGCAATCCCATATCGAGAAATTATATTGTTGCAGTAAGGCATTCTTGTTTCTTACATTTAGCAATTCACAGATATCATTCATTCACTTACATACGCACGAATGTATTGAGTTAGGCGACTGTTTGGTAATTCTTGCTGAATGTCATCAAATTTTATCACGAATGATCACAAAACGAAGTAACACACCTCCCGATCAGAGTTCCTTAATGATGATGGTGATCGAATAGAAGATTAGAGCAGATGCAATGCATTCACCTTCTTCAACACAACCTTCCCTGACCAACAAGCGAAACAAGAATAAAAGTCGAGAAAATGAAATATTCTCACAGTTCAGAGCGCATATGCTCCCGATGGAGTTGTTATGTCATCCAAGGCGTTAGTCATCATCATTAGCAGCAGTGAATGAATGAATGGAAACTCTCTTCGGAAATGATGCAAAGAAATCATTTGTGCTCTCAAATAATCAATATGCGATGAAAAATTATTATTGCTAATACTTTTTCGATTCCGTGAAAAAATCTAACAAAAGCACAGCGTAGACGCACGCATGTCATCCAAAAGCTGTTTGAACGTTTTGTATTTTTACTTCAAAAGGGAGACAGTACTGTCGTTTCATTTCAACATCTCTCAATGAAGAAAGTTCAGTTGTTTTAAGCTGAATTTCGAAACGCATTTCATGACTGCATGGCATCAAAATGTACGTGATTGTGATTCAGTGCGTTTGTGGAAAGCAAACTGTTGAGATTTATTATTAGGGAAAATGTGTGAGCGCTTAGTTAAGAAGGAAGACGCCAGCAGACAAGTGAAGGTGTGCCATACTGCTGGCTTAATTTGATTACCGAATAATTTTACTCGACTATTTCGAAGCGTATACTTCGCAGTTGTGGATACTGCGTTGAAAGTGCATGATGGCGATTTGTTTGTTCATTGCTTGTGGTGATTTTATAGCAGTTCAGATCATCGTATCATCACTGTCAGGTAAAAGCCAAACTGTGCACATGTCCGCTCATGCACCATTCACGAATTGTCATTCTATCTTCCACAAAATTTTTACAAATTATTGTCTCGGGCTCAGAAATGCAAATGGCGGATGCATTCCAACCGTAAATTGTTCGGACGCTTCTCAGAGCTCAAAATCAGCCAGTATTTCACTTTCAAGACACTGTTTCAATTGTGCAGAATATATGGTAAGCGAATGCTTTTCGAGCAAAACTTAGAAGAAATACATATAGTAAATGAAATATGCACATATCATAAAATCATGATAAAACCGGTTATCAATGAATAGCATCATAACATACCAACCAACATCCGTGTATTTAATATAATTTTACATCATTCAAAGCGTAATTCACAACAATTCGATCGAATCAAATATATGACTTGATAAGGATGCAGAATGCTATCGCTTACCAAAAAGTAATGAAATATTCTCCAATTGCATTGAATCAACTGGACGATACTCTTTATCACGGGTGATATCATATGAAAACAATAGTGACTGCACCACATCAGCAGTATTCGAACGACAATATTTACACTGACAGCTGCTCCATTGTTGCTTGATTTACGTTCGATTCATCCGCAGTTTTCATCGTGCTGCGATCGTTTTGTTCTATCATCGAATTTACCACATTTGATCAACGAAGTTACCATAATAATTTACGACCTAAAGATCATAATAATGACAGCGATAATGATAATAATGTGGTTGGAAATTTCAATGAGGACAATGATTGAGATGGTGATATTATAAATGAGGGATTGAAGCGACTCTAATGGTTCTGGAGATGTTAACAAACGATGTTTTGTGATAACGCCGATAACAACACAGTGCCGAACTTCGAATCGTGACTAAGAACCTCTCCCTTCTTTTATGTATTTCAGTTCCATTTGATGTAAACTTTTGAGGACTTCTGAATATTAATGAGAAATTGTACTGAATATTTTGATGTACATTTCTTCACTACTGCAACGTGTGACTTCACTGCTGCTCAAGTGAAAAAACACCCAAATGAAAAACAAAATGAAGTTGCAACTGGGTATTTGTTTTTCGTCAACATTTATTGTTATTTGTTAATTATTGATTTCATTATTAATATCATTATCAGTTTATTTCCATTTTTAATTACACGAGCATGCTTATATCCACACATAATGTTGCCATATACATAAAATACTATTCCACTGCAACTACTCAACAATCACTCGAACACAACAATGATAATAACATTTATACTAACAACATATATGAACAATGAACAAACCTAATACAAACACAATATAATAAGTATAAAATACTTAACAACAATCACAAATCTAATGAACGCACAACCGATTTTCACACATAAATCCGTTGATATCCTTGATTAAGGTGATGATATAAAAAATGAAAATTTTGAATTGTCAACTCTCGAAACCAAAAACGAACTAGCGAATATTACAAGGCACGAGGTTGCACTCAAAATCGACAAACTTCGGTTCGCAATGTGAACCTCTAGAATTTTCGAATGCTCTCGAAAAAGGCGTGAATTTTAAATTCAGCGGCGTCGAGCGTGACACCCCCACTGTTTTCTCATTTTCAGACGAGGGGGGAGGGAAAGGCCAAGTTGCTCGCTAGACGGGTACCGATCCCCGTTTCGCGAACAACTGACCTTTAGATACCTCTCGATTGGTTTCGGTTTGCAAATGCCGATGGTTGACACCACATAGTGATGCACCTGGCAGTTTGCTACCAAATTTAGAGTGGTAAGGCTCCCACACTTTGAAAAGAATTTAGGATACCTAAAACACGCCCAAAACCCTCAAACCTAAACCTTAGACAAAATCACCTCACCAACTCTATCCCAATCGAAAGGCATCATACGAAAGAGCTACGAAACAGCTCTTTCGTCAAAAATTCCACAACACGTTAACGTTTTATACAATCCTCACTCTTCGCAGAGAGTAATGAGGGTTTTGGAAAATAAACGTTATAATTGTACAACATCACAAAATGTTATCACTTTATCTATGTGCAAAAATCCATCCATTTTTTTGTATAATTTGCCAACTATTGAATCTTAGCTACAAGATGTTATACATATTCTTTACCAATTACTTCTCTCAGAATCAGAACAGAGAGAATTTCAATTACTCCACTGTATATACTAGTCGTGACTATTGAACATCAGCACTGGTCACTCCAAGTGCCATAACTTAACGTTTGCTGTCAACGTTCATTGTATTTCTCAATCTCTTAGGAATCTTCCCTGTCGGGTAGGTAACTATAAGCATTTATAAGCTCGTGCCTCAACTAAGTATAATACTTCTCCTTGTTCGAAAAAGCTAATAAGCGAAGTGAGCTGTGGCACAATGTCTTCATGCACGTGATGGCTAACGCATATTCTCTGTGTATTAGAGCCCATCTGCGTTCTGCATGACTATTATCTTTAATATATTAGTCACCGTCATTTTCTTATAGCCGATAAGCTATAATATTGCATTCTACATAGCTAATATTCGTTGCTTCTTTGATTATTCTTCTTCATTCATTCGAGTTTCAATTATTTTATTCATTTTCGGTATTCGGAAAACTAACAAATCGCTGTTGATTGCTTTTGTTCACTTGAAACAAAATCATGGAACGTTCTGATGGTAACGGAACTATAACAGTATCTGAAGAAGTTGTTGCTGAGGTTAGAACTTTCGTTCTTTGTGATATTTGCGTTTTTTCCGGCCGGACGCTGTCCAGTTCTGGCGATCTAGTNTGTAGCAGTTAGATGAGCTGTAAATTCGTTATCAGTTCAGAACACTGGAAAATATCCTCAGTTTATCATTTATTTCGAGAATGTTTTTTGATGATGTTTGTGAGAAATTTCCATTTTGCAGCCTGAAGTGCAAGAAATTGTTCTGACAACGCCTGAGACCGATCCATCGCACAGGTAACTTTTTTTTCACTCGTCTACATACTGTCACATCTTTCCTTATGAGGTTTGCGCAAGTGTTTAAAAATATATTGATCAGGTCACTTCAATTTCTATCATTACACGTTTTGCATATACAAGAGGAAGTGTGGTGAAATGATTTGACTCTGAAGCATTTATCTGATTGTGAGGAATTTTTTTTCCGGCGAACGGAACTAGTTTCTCTTCAGAGTTCAATGGGCCCAAGGAACGGTCGATAATGAGTTCATGGGAAAGCATAAATCGAAATGTTGTTGTATTTACAAGAAGCCGAAGAAATGGAATGATGACTCTGACAGTTCAGATTCGGTTGGTGTTCACAATCCTCTCGTTGACCATTTTCTATGTGTTTGGCTGATGGTGATCAGAACTATAGTAGTTCCACACTAACTGTGTCGTACCAAACGGAATTCTTTATTCATAACCATAAAATTCCTCTATTATTTCAGCCATATCCATTTCATTCAATGAATGTAAGAACATGTCAAGGTAATGAACAGCGAAATAGAATATTCCTTTCAGTATGTATTTTGTGTTAGGATCCGATGATATTTCAATCCTTTCCTTGTTGGCTGCATTATCATTACTGAATTAATCTCAGGATTGTGAAACGGGGCATTGCCGAGGGCATGTTGAGAAGCGTCATCCGAAAGATCACGGAGACGGTGCTGGAGCTCAAGGACCAAGTTGCCCTGCCTAGACGGTGCCACTGATTTCATCCACTCATATCTGTGGATGCCGAAGTAACCAAATAATATTCACTCATTTTTCATTTTATGGGTTTTTATTTATTTGCATCTTGAATATTCTCCTTCATTCTTCGTCATGTTAATCAAGTTGAGTATTGTTTTTCTGTAGCTTTGGTCGTTGTCTTGGGGGAATTGCTATGGAAGGGAAGAATGTTACGTGGTACTCGATTCAGTCATTTACTCGCCCCATTCGTCGGCAATGCCACTTCCCAAATATCTTTCCTACTGTATTGCGTGATCATTTCATATCATTGGTGGTTCGCTACACACTTTTTCGTTTATTATTTTTCNGTGGCATTTCAATAGTTTCGGTTTCGTTACAGCTCAAATTGAGCCACTTTTGTACGCTAATTGAAATCGTTACGAATTGTATGCTCGTATTGGTTCTGATTCGTAGTTATCCATATTCATTATTGGTGTTCATTATCACTTACTGATTCATATGTGATGTATGATAACTGTGTATAGTTTTGTCGGGAATTATATTGTCAATCATATGATTTCGAATGTATCTCATGGTAATAAAGTTGTATGTTTTTGCTTCATTTGTTTATCAATGCGTTTCACAACCACTTTGAAGAATTCAGCATTTCGATGCAAAAAAAGAAAACTTCGCGATGAGTTATTTAGCAGATATTCGCAGATATGCTTCAATTACGTACTATTTGCAAACCGCAGTGGATTATTCAAAATAATTTCCAGCTTTAATGGAAAAATGATCGATCTTTGTCCATTCTGATACGATTTTTAATCGATGTGTGGTTATGTCTTTCAATAGTGGCGCTATTGAATTTAGAGATTTTAATATTGGTTGTGCTGATGAAGTGGTGAGCGTTGCTCGAATTTTTTGTAAAGAATTGCATCATCAAAAAAAAAGATGCAGATGCAACTAGATCAGGATTGTTTGTATAATCGAATAATCGAACCGAGAAGGCCCCGAAATGTCTAGAAGCATAAACTGAGTGGTTGGTCATAGTGAAGGGCTGCAGGGAATGATCCCTATTGCTTTTAAGTATTCCAGTTTCACTTAACAGGTCTAGAAATAAAATTGTGCAGATTACAGGTTGTGGGGAGGGGGTAAGCTTGATCAGCTGAAATAGTAACGGTACTTGCCGTATGTCCACAGACTCGTACAGCTGAATCTTGGTATTCATAAGGATTATGCATTATAAATGCTTCATATTAAATGATAATTTCAATTTTATCGAGCACCTTATCTGAAACAGCAAAAATATGACCATCCCACTCTGTTTCGCTTTCGAGAATGTGTCTATAACATGTCTTCTTTTTTTTTGAAGACCTCAATCAACTGTGAAGCAATTAAAGCAAGATCACGTGAAATAATCGGCGGAAAATCAGCAAATTATTTACTCCGTCTGCAAGATGGATCAATTTTAGCAATTCATGCGNTTACTGATTGAGTACAGTCATGCGTGAGTTTGCTGTATCTTCAACCAACAATATTCAAATCGTCGCACGAGTGTAATGTCCAGTTCAGCACGTTGAGACCCACTAGTCCATGAAATTACAACTGTTGCATAAGAAAAGTATCAGTGCATTTAAGAAAGTTCCAGTTTTGATCCACGCGATCATTCAGACGTGATTCGTGGGCACTACCTAGAAATGTAATCCTCAAAAGATATTTGCCCTTTGGTCTCCTCAGCAATCATAAGAAATGTTCCTATGAACTCCTTCCAGAATGTGAGTTCAGCTTTAAGAAAAGTGCATATGTTGTCGTATGAAAATGCCAATTCCTTCACATACGAGAATATATGAGAACATCGTTTCATTTTACTTCGAATCCTCATCGAACTGAATACAACAACAATTCTGATGCAAGAGTTCAGTGTTGCACGCACGAATCACATAGAATTTGCATGTCATGAATTTCTTCAGTCAGGTGTTTGTAATGATGGAAAACGTGTTCATAACTTAATTGTTGAGTTTGGACATGCTGAAGGTGGATTGTGATCGGCTTCGAATACAGTGACTTGTAATATGGCATTAAGATCAACTATCTCTTAGTAAGGATATAGCTGTGATTATGACGATTCATAACGGGATGAATTTGTTGAAGATTCTCGCAATCGCTTGCGTTCGGTGAGCCTTTCGTTGTCATAAACGTTTGTGATCCTGGCTCCGTGCGAACACTGCTATCATTCCTCTACGACGGAATCATGAACATACAAATCGAACGTTTGAATCGTTTACTGCCTACGGCTGCACTCCTCCAATGCAGTGTTTGCTTGTCGGTTAGTATACTCCATTAGCAATCTAAGTTCCATCGAACTTCTCGAACGAAAACTTAATAAAGTTTATGACAGTAATAAAAATAATGACAGTAACAGCAGAAAATGATGGCAGAATTCTAGAATAATAACAATAGTGACAATAGTTTTAAGTAATAATGAATATAACAATAGTAATGATAATAATAACAGTACAAATCATCGGTTCTATGAGATATCAATCACCCAAATCACCTTAACTGCTTTCTTCAACATATAGGATATGGAAATCGCATATGTTTTGTTCAGATGACCGTTACGTTCACTTCTCTTTAGCAAGTTCATGAAGGTAATCGACAATGCTAGGCTTTCTCTTATTGTTAGACAATTGCATTCCTCAACATTGCAATTGATCATGATTGCATGAGAATCTATTGTCTCTGACACGCTCACTTCAAACTGTTGCATGGATTCTCATTCTTTTCAGACGTGTTGTATTCAATCTCATCGCCATCACTTGCGAATACCGTTCTATTGATGAGTTTTTATCATTCACTTCGTCTCAATTTCACTTAACAGTTCGAATCAAATTCTCATTCTGTAGCATATACTATTTACTGGATACGTTGGCAAGCGTTGACAGTCCAAATCAACAACACAACAATCGAATTGAATTGCTCAACAACGTTCGACAATGAAATGGTCAATGATAGAGTGTGTTTGATAGAATGAGAATTTGACTTTAATTGTTGAGTGAAATGAATGAGAAATTAAGCAAAAGAGAGCACTTTTGGTGATAACAGCTATGAGAGTGATTATAGCAGCGAAACACAACACTTTTGATGATAAAAGCTATGAGAGCGATTGTAACAGCAAGGCAAAGAATGAAAAGGCACTTTTGGTGATAACAGCTATAAGAGCGATTGAAACGGCTCGGAAAAGAATGAAAACCTTGTTAAAACACCATTTATTAACCAATCTATGCGGTTTTCATTGAAACTAAGAAATTCGCTGATCAGTGCATGCTGAAAATCCAACTCACAGAACATTAACTCTGAAATAACCGAAAAAAGGGATTGGACATCCCATCTTCCACGACGATAGTCGTCACGACGCCTAAAACAACCGGCAGCCGGTAGATATTGTTAAAGTCATCTAATTATTGTTAACCTCATTAATGCTGTTACCCTCCAAGCTTCGCTCCATCTTCTACTGTTATTTGCATTATTTTCATTACTGTAGTGAACTTTATTAGGTTTTTTTGACAAATGTTCTCAAACTTTGATAAAATCCAGGTCATTTCTAATCGTTTGTCATTCTTGACTTGCTACGTTCATAGAGCTTATCTAAATCAACTTATATTCATGAATATTTCATTTCAAATCCGAATCATATTTGAGGTAATTCAAGAATACATGGTATATATTTCATGGCGGAGTATTCGTCACGTGATCAAATGTGCACAAACAGCTTCTCAAGCGATCGCATACTTTGACTTCGATCACTTGAATAGAATGAGACTGAATATGGCAAGGACGATAGAAAATACCAGCAATATCGACTGTCTATATCAGGTTTCACTTTGAATCCTCATAAAAGTATTACAGATAATTGCACTGTTCAATTTTCCAATCATATGCAGCTTTGACGTTGCGCTTGNTTGAAGAAGTAAGAGTAGTGATATGGATTGAATGTATCATGATGATTACACCAGTCTACGTGCTAAGAACCTAATAAGAGGAATGGTTTCCTAAACGTATCACTGCGTTTGGTATTTATCTCAGATGTGATTTGAAATGGTGATATCAAAATGAACCAAGGCACAGTTCCTGGTTTTGGTCTGGCTTAGATCACTTTCGCGGTTCACTGGAGAGACTTTTCCAGTGATTCAACAGATTGTTTTGATTTTTTGTGCTAATTTAAGTGATTATAGGAAGCTCCATTGGGTGCTATCAAAGAGATTCTTCTTGCTTTGCAAATTGATGGAAATGAGCAGCGAACACGCTTGGTAACCAGATTTTTTCTAATAACCACTGAAAGCGTTTACTCTTAGGTGTGATAGGCTTTAATTGTAAGCAAGACTTCCTTTTGCAGATGTTGAATATAGCTAATGAGTGGTTATTATCACGGACAGAACGTCATTCTCATGCTGAATGTGTTTATGCACTTATACCTTTTCGGTTACTGTCAATTGACGAGTTGATCGAGGTTCGCATACTTTTACTTTTCATCACAAATCCTTTGAAGTTTCTTAAATGTTCGACCACGCTTCGATACGCTGCTCAACTAGTGTTTCTGAACAGTGGTGATGTTAAAATGAACTAATGCAATTTCCTAGAATTTGGATTTGCATTAGGTATTGCTGGGCAAAAGTGTTTCGTCGTGAAAAGGCTAGAAATAAATGTAATAAGCATATTACAATCATGCAAACCTATAAACAGTGCTATCAGAGAGTATTTTTGCTTGTTAATTTTCAGCTGTCCCGAATTGCCGATGACCGTCTACCTCAAGCACTGCATGAACCACTTCTGCGTCAACTCAAAGAAAGCGCCTACCGGAAGCATGTTGGCTATGAAATAGGTTTTTTGGAACACGTCAAGAAACCGGAACACACTGCACGATCACCAATGAGCAACAGATCACAAACAGTACTGGAGACAGCGCAATCCTCAGCAGATATATTTGATGAGGTTCTGTGGCCATCTATAGAACATTCACAACCGAAATGCAGTACTCCGATAGTCTCCAAGCAAGGAGGAAGCCAATGCTCTCGGGCAGCAGCAGCAACAGCAGCAGCAGCAGCAACAGCAGCAGAGACAGCAGAGACGAACACTCCTCAACATTACCGGTCAAGCGTTACACTTGTGGATTCACATAACTGTGGCAACGTGGCAAAACAGAAATCCGATTGCACGCAACCTGAAGGCTTCAGTTTGAGCAAAGCACCTAGCGCTTTTGTTCTTGACACTCTTCTAAGTGCTAGCAACTCTTCAAAGTGTCCATCTGGACCGACCAAGAAGCCAGAAGATTCTGCGATTGACACTCAAGAACAACCGCTACGAGCGATTTCTGGACGTAGCACAACTGCTATTGCAATGAACGATTCAAACGTACACCCTACTGGCTTCTCATGTGCATGCCAATTCAACCAACGAATACCACTAGATTTGAGTGCAGGCCGACTAACCAGTGGACGAGACGGCTTCGAAGTAGGCTTGGAGAAGCCGAATAGACCTCTCCAATCGATCAAATCATTCAAAAATCCCCTCTCATTGATGCAGTATGTTCGACTCCCACCGACGCGCGAGACACGAGACACAGCGTTAAGCGAACTTGGCACTGGCGTTCCTATCGGATTACCTGTATCAAGCGCTAATCACATTCACTTATCCTCACCTCGCAACCAACAAGAACAGAAAGACCAATCACTATCTGTCACTGTCAGAAGTCACTCGCAAGCTGCTAGTTGGTTGTCAAGCGATCTTGATCATCAAGTTTATCTGACGAACAATAACAACTGTTGTTATGAAGTTCGAGAAAATATTCTTTTGAAGAGTGAACTGCTGAAAGATAACCGTGAAAGATGTGAAAGTAAGGCGCCGAGAACTGCACAAGAAGATAGCACTACGGTTGAAAACAGTAATGATCATAAAAGATGCACAAATGAAGAGCACACTTTGCGAAATTTGATGTTTAGCAATGACTGTGAAAAAAATTTGCCTCAGAAAGGTCTTACTGAAAATGGAGCATCCACTGAATTAACAACAAATCAGTCAGGAAGAAGTGTTCATTCTGTGTTCGAAGGAAGCGATTCCATATTGAAAGCAGTCAATTCCGGGTGGGGTTCGTTTAGCGATTGGAACGTTTCTGAGAAAACTATACCGAGTTCGATATCGAGCTAGTAGATGGCGAGCATTTGTTAGTGTGTTCAAAACTGAGATCAAAAAATTATTGAAAAAAGCCTTCACCCTAATGTTCAGTTGTTTTTCTTTATTTCAATAGCTTATTATTAGAACGTAGTCATGAAACGGCGCATATTTACAAATAATTCGCTGCATTAAAATAATGACTTGTCTGAAATATTTGCTTGCATTTTTTGTTCGGCACATCGAAGCGACGCTTGAAACACCACCAGTCTGTAGCTAATAACTTTCCAAAGCAATCACTCACAAAGAACTGAACTGTGCTATTAAACAGTATAAACACCGCTGAATATTCAGGTAAACATCACAGGATATATGCCGCTACGTATTCATTTCTTCATTTGTATATTCTGTTACTTCATATTCCTCATATATGTTCAGGTGCATTGAATAAAGTTTCCATGATCAACGCAGAATACTTTTATTTGCAGTTTTTTCATCATATAATCTTCACGAAAATATTATTGTGTACATCGATTCCTATATGCGGAACACCAATCGAACTCTGCGCTCAATTTTTTTACATTCGTTCTCCTCACTGGCTCTGGAGTACTCAAAATCAGAGTGCAAGAAGAATATATGTGAAGGCAAGAATTCTATCGAACAAATCTAATAAATAAAAGATCATTTATGCAATACATTGAGCAGAGTGCAATGAATGTGAGGAGGGAGTGGAAGCAATGCAATGCATGCGAATATTTTAAAAATTCAACCTTCTCTTCATATGTTCCCGTAAACCTCACCTGAATCCTTGAATTAATTTAAGAATTCTGAACGCAGGCTGCATTTCAGTCCAAATTTCAGTGTTGTACTCGTCACTAACAAAACCGAAATGAAAAATCATTCATATCGCTTCTGTTAGTGACGAGTATTCGATGAATTTAGATCTGTTTTATGAAAAGCGAGTGAGCAGCCTCACTACTCCCCCAACATAGATGATTGATGAATTTAGACTTAAAATGTGCCATCGTCGGTTTGCACATTAAGTCTTCATAAACATCAACACCTCTTCATAATGTTACGAAGCCATTTGAACACCTGACATTTTTCACGGAATAGATTGATTGCATAGTTTATTGATAAGTGGCCTCTATTGAGTATGACTGCAGTTGCAATTTCATCGTTAAGCCTCACACTCCATTCGGAATCAACGTTCGATGCACCGAAAACTTTGCTAAACTTTTGCACGATAATGATCGATGATATGGTGGTGAATGTGTGTGTGTGTGCTTGGAAGTTCCGGACTTTCTTCAGACCTGTGAGCAGTAACCAATCGTATGCACAAGAAATGATTAAGAAAAATAATCTCGAAAAAGATATTCGCTAAATTCTTCGAGAAAAAACACTGTGAAGATACGTGCACAAATCAACAATGCCATCATGTGTTAGAGAAAAATCTCGTGTAGGTGAAACTGAATGTTTAGCCACACATCTTTGGTTTTTGACACAAAATTTTAAAACTTTGCATTTTAGAGTCACATTAGGTGATGAAATTGATACAGCTCTCGTCAGTATCGTGTCCTGATTGGAATGACATTCAAAGACTTGGAAATGTTTTAGTTTCATCTAGAGTCAAGACGCTTTTCATCTTAAAGGCTTTTGCTATCTTAGAAGTAGAGTACTTCGGAACTGAAGTCAATGCTGGGATATTGGCACAATATCTACAAGAGATCAAATGAACTTCTCATCACATTCAATAACACCGTGTTCAGTTCTCTCAATGATAGCCACCGCCTCAGTAAACACGAATAAGCAACAGCACAATCGAATTAAGTGATTCGGGAAACATCTTATCCACTGAAAATAAATTAGACAGAGTGATTATCGAACTGCGGCAGTGCATTGTCGGATTGCAGAACCGATAGCGGGTAGACATCGTCGTCGTCCTCCTCTTCGCCCAGCATTCGGCGTTTCTTCCTCAATCGTGCTCGCTTGAAACAAACATAGATTTGTGTCACCACAAAACAACAACAGAACATCAAAATACCACAAGCCAAAAACAATACAACGGCCACCAAAATCGACTCCACTTCGGTACCGATTGGTGTCAAAGACTCTTTTGCAACCATGCTGAAATGTATTCTTACATTCATAAAACACATCCACTAGTACACTCATCATTCAATGAATACATCCCTAGTGCAAGTTCATCAAAATAATTCTGCAATCTCCACATGCACTGAACAAATTGGATTGAACTTTCAAAAAAAACAAACATATGAAAAAAAAGTTTTCGAAAAGATTCCTCGTCAGATAATAACTGCTTAACATCGGCTATCAATTGACAACAACCGCTCCGACTGTTCCGCACCAAAAAAACTATTCGAGAGCGATTCCAGCAAAGAAGTTTGCTTGGCCTATCTTAAAAAACACCACCGGAAGCGAAAACCTCGAAAAAAAATTCTAGATTGCCTTTGCCAATGCTAATGCATATTAGTTTTTAGGTATGTCATCAGGACTGCTGGCTTTACGATCTCATCAGTTTGTAAAGAATCGGCCCGGCCCAGACATATCATGTCAATGTGATGATGGCCGTTGGCATGACGTTTTAGCCATCCTATTCATTAGCTTAGTGGCGAATGCGAAGCGATATTGTAATGTTTGCAATCAGTGATTATGTATGGATCACGCTTTGTTCATCGGTAACTGCTCATAAAAACACCATTACTTATTCTCAGCAATAACAATTAAAATTTTACAACATCTTAAATTATTGCCATAATAATTGTTCAATAGTTAAGTAGCAACTGTTCTCGTTCAACGTAATAATAACACAACATAAAATGAGGCATACGAAAGATGCAATTATTTTCAAGACTCTTCTCATCAATATAATGATTGAACGGTATTGTGACAGGTGCAAACGTCTCACCGCGGTTCACGCCTCACTTCAAACCTAAATGACAAAGGAACAATGAAGGAATAGTTGTGATTCTCACGTACCTGAAGTTGAATTCAGTGAGCGAATCATTCGATCAAGGCAACGGATAAATTATGCAATCAGTACGAAAAGACTTTATCATATGATCTGCAACGGAGTATGATCACAATTTCAATAATAATGCGGACAAAACATCGCTACATTCAACATCGCTATGAAGTGAAGAGAGCACTCTTGAAAAACTTGTCAACGCTCATCTAAATGATAATCTCATGTTCATGGATTACGAACACCAGCTCATTATTCTTATCTTATTCTCTGTCCGTCTCGATCTAGCACACAGTTTGATGAGCTCATAACGACAAGCTTGCACAATACGAATGCAAACAGATACTGCAAGCTGTTCTCGATCGAATGGATAATTGATGTTTTCACAGCATTGAACTGGCATTATTTTTTAATTAATTATACGACTAGTCCAAATAATCGAACCAAGAAACAAATAGGTTTTCAGGAGCATCCCACGAGATTCATAGAATCACACCGAATTCAAAAGTTGAACGGAAGAAAGAAGATCAATCGGAATGATCACCGTTAAATGCATTTCAGTTCATGGAATGAGTCCATGGAACAGAACTTCTTCAACCGGATTATTGACTAAACCACAATTGGAGCTTATGTTTTGCCCAATTTTATGGGAGTTTCTACTCTAAAATTCCGGGAACGTTACGGCAAATACGGAAAAGAACTCACATGTTCACGTGTTAGCGTCTATGATGAAATAGAGCAATGGAACATCGCTGATGAATTAATCGAAGTAGTGAAAATCAGTAACACCAGATGAACATCTCGCTGAATAAGACAGCGATGAGGTATCTTTCATAGGATTATCGTGTATTTCAACATATTGAACGTCGTAGGTGAGCAAATGAACTTTTAAATACTGCAAATTGAATATTAAAGCTGTGAAATAATACAGAACCTATGAATGTTCTCAATCGATTGACCAATGCTGAACTTTGTTCTTGAAATAGCATCTTTTTAAGGCGGAAAAACATTATTTCAAGAATAAATTGCAGCATTCACTGGTCAATGAGCGATGCATTAGAATTATAAGTATTCTTAAGAATTATAAATGTTCTGAAGAATTATAAATATTCACTGACATTACTCGTAACTAGGATGAGCAGGATTAAAACCTGGCAACCTATTGATCAAATGTTATGCTCTGGTATACATAGTGAGCATATTCTCGGTACTATGCTAATTGAAACTGAAGAAAGCGAAAAATTTGCTCCAACTCAAGCAAGACAAACGTATACGATACGAAACAGAGCGAAATGAATGCAGCCAAATCGCTCATATTGCTCGAAGGGAGGAACGTGTGATGGAGATACACAAAATCTAACAAATTGTTTTCACAGAAGAAGTAAAATTGAATTAGGATGAAAACGCAAAATTTCGCTTGTGATGACAGTGACCAATCATGTCGCCATATAAGACAATATATCCAGTTCCTCTAGTTTGTCTAGCCCACACAATGATCACTGAACTAGGACCTGTCGCAGAATTCAAGAGAGCTGACAATTTTTTGTGTAGTGGATAATTATAATTGGGTTGACAAAAAATAGGATGCAAAGTAATAATGATCAAAAATGATACACCATCAAAAATGAGGAGTGCAGACTCGCGGTGGATTATTATCTTCAGTGATCAGATGGAACAGGTTTAGTGGGTAACATATTAAGGAACTGGAATCTAGTGCAGATCCTACAGATCCACTGAACTAGGAATCAAGACCAAAAGATCCCCGAATTGAGTCTACCACTCTAGGGATCAGGCCCACTGTTCTCTGGTAGATCGGTGAGCGCTGAAGTTGACGGTAATAGACTGTGCTCAGCCTATGACTGCACCGAAAATTGATCTGAACAAACAGAGACAGATCTAGCACGGATCATCACTACGATAATTGCTCAACGTTCATTACTGATGCAATCAGCAAGCGTTTTTGCTATATATTTGAGGTTTCTTTCGACTGTTCTCCACATAACTTAATCTTCTTAATCTCGTGAACCGAACAAGTTCAAAAAATTCATTATTTTTGGTCTGTTTTGCGTATCTCGTTCATCTCAACAAACCAATCATCAGATAATCAATACTCATCCGATACTAACTAATCAACAACAGATGTAGGAATGATTTGTTGTATTCGTCAATTCAACATTTCATCTGGATTTGTGATCTTGAAATGTTGAACTCGTAACTGATTGATTGATTGAATGCTGTTGCATGGTTTCTTTGCGATCATATACTCGTTTCGACAGTTTTAACAAGGAAACAGATGAAGAGAACGCAATCCATATGTTAGAATCTGTTGCAATGTTCGTCTTTTTAGTTGTTCATCGAAATATTTTGTTTATTGTTAGTTCTGATTTTTCATCAAATTCTCTACTTCAAAAATTATTCAGCTAAAATCGTGCACAATCTGCTTAACAGTTAATTTTTGTTTCACTCACAATAAGCAGCAACAGCAAGCGTTCAATAATCAGTGATGAAATCTCATTTCATAATGTATACTGCGATCAATCATTCGGTCGTCTTCGAACAGTGTCTATCGAAACGCTGTTCAACAATAAATCAGATTCTTTATCAATCCATCAATTAATGTTTTTCGATTGAACCACTCAGCAAAGAGTGTTGCACTTCACAAGTTAGATTAAGAACAGAAATTCGTTCACTCACAACAAGTATGAAGGCTGCGATTTTTTGACTCCTAAACATCGCATAATTATTTGCCTCATCGTCAGGGCTCTCTATTAACATTCAGCTGGCATCTCAGTGATTCAGCCTGATTGAACATATCGCTGGCAGATAAACTTTACGAGCATACAAAAGAAGCAGTTATTCAGGAGAACACTGTTCACTAACAGTGCACGAAAGCGATGAGATGGCTGCTGATAATTATGTGACTATCAAAGATAAGTTACAGTTGTACGTACGCTTTGGAAACAGCACGATGGAAGGCATCGCTACCGCTACAAACTATTACAGCACTGTAAGGTTACCATCTTCAAGCTAAGGGTACTCTCAGACTTCCCCACTAACATAGCTATTTCTGTTCACCATTCGATTCCTGAGAAACTCTCAATTAAGAAAAACATATATATTGTCGGGCGATTTTGCTTACATGAGGAGATATAGCTATTATCCTAAAGCCATCTTAATTAGCATAGAGGCGCTCATTCATGTACATTGTATCTCAATAGATCAATTATACACATTAATATAGCGCTAAAGGCGTTACGATCTTCAAGGTACCGGTACTCTCAGCTTTACCAGGTAACGTATGAGTTTCCTTGTTACGAATGTT